GTGCATAAGGTATATTGTTACAGATAGTCACAAACCGACAAAGAAAACTTAGAACATCAAGAAGGTTAATTAAATTAAGAATGAGAGAAAAACATGCCTCTGAAAATACGGTTACCATGGAAACATGAAGATCCTTGACCAATAAATGGGATACTTCTTTCTTTCTAGATAAATTTTAGGCAAGTCGTTAAATTTGAGGTTCATTGCTATAGCGCTTTTAAAGTTACAAGCGTCGTTCAAAGTTGGAAGGCGCCCCTAAGGTTTTCATCACCCTTCTGGTCTGAATCAGTTATGTAGTGAAGTCAGATCAACTTACATCTCGCTTTCAGAAAAAGTAATTTCTAAACGTCAACTCTGTTTTAATAATCTCTCGCATTAGACTCAAATGGAAATGGATAACATGGGACTGGACGAAGATCCCGCCAGGATTCAAAATTCTGGAGATTCCGTTCAAAGCCAATACACATCATTGAATCAGGCTTCTCGCTTAGAAAACGCATCAGAAGATAGAGAGGATAATGTTTCATCAAACGCTACACCCAGCAGCCAATACGCACCTCTTAATCCGTCGACACGCTCATGGGAGGTTCCTAGACACCATGTGACTCTAGAAAAGATCATTGGTAAAGGTGCGTTTGGTCAGGTTGCCAAGGGAACAACAATAAGTCTTCGAGGACGGCCCGGGAAGACACTAGTGGCTATTAAAAATTTAAGAGGTTTGAAATGCTTTTAAAATAGTAGTAAAATATTGCAGAATATGTTACGGACTTTCTAATCGTCCATTTCTAGCCTGGAGTCTAGGCAGACTTTAAATACGCATTTTAATAATAGTGATAGTAATAATAATAATAATAATAATAATAATAATATAAAAATGCTGCAAGCTAAACAAAGAGTTTGGCACTGATGGAGTCACTCTGAGTGTTAAGGCTAGGCCTCAGTTCTTTGATGAATAGTATTTCGTAAACGGAGCAGTCAAATTTCCAGTGGCAGTTCTTAAGAACGTGAAATCGGCCCTCATTAAGAAGATTCTTGTCACCGTGCACTTCTAAAAGGTGTTTACCGATAGCCGAATACTTGTGTTCAACAAATGCGTTCATGAAGGTGTCGACCTGTATAGCCAACATAATCTACATGACAGAGATCACATGTATATTTATATGTCTTGCAATACTCGGCTTAATTTCTTTCGGTTTAAGATCTTGCTCCAATATTTTGCTCTCAAGAATTGGCTGTAAAGTGACGGCAATCTTACTGCTGAGATCATGTAATTACCTACGGACTGCATTAGCGGCTATCTGATCTTTAAAGGGAAGGACTATTCTGATCGTGTTGCCATCATCGGTTTTCTCTTTTGGCTTAGCTGCAATATAAACATAATAATGGTGGAATTTGAGGCCAATTGATTAATCAAGTCGAGCGAATATAGAGCGTAACTTGGCATATTCCTCATTAAAGGCTTCTGTCGTAGATGACAGGGCATAGGCGCGATGTAACATGGTCCTCAATAAACCGGTTTTGTAACGTTTGTCTACATGGCTTTGAAAATGCAAGAGTAGACCAGTGTTGGTCGGCTTTCTCTAAACACGCTAAGCTAAATTTAAAAAAGTAAGTTTTTAACTTTCATTTAAAAACAGTCAGGTTGTTGTGATTTCACAACATCATTGATTTCACACTGGTGTCAGTTAGTTTCTACTTTGTTTTCCAAATCGAGTATTGTTGACGTAATGAGGGTTGTTT